ATATAAGCAAATTCTTATGTCCGATGCTAATCATTGTTAAATATAAAATACTAATAGTGGCCATTCGGGTACTTTTATTATTCGAAATTGTTAGTAATATTATGTAGAAAAATACTGTAATCAGAATTATCAATATCCATTTTGCGAAAAAGCAATTTGCTACTGAGCTCGAGCAAGTGATCAAGGACCATATTAATACAGTGGCCGCACATTTTAAAGGTATGATTTAAAAAATTATTAATTTATTTTAATTTATTTTTAAAATGTTACTAAATTTAACACAAAATGTTACTGATAAGTTAATATTAGCCTTAACTTTCCAGCTTTATTTGAAATGATTTAAAATTATTTCCAATTAATTATTATTTATTTCTATTTTATGGTATTTAATGAAGTTTTATAAACTAAAAGTAATTAATAATAAAAATATGTTTCAATTCATAGGTAAGATCTACGCGTGGGATGTCGTCAATGAGGTGATCCATGAAGTGTCCGGCAAACTAAGGGACGGCATATTCTCGCGAACTTTTAACTCCAGTTTCATTGAGGAGGCCTTCCGTACGGCACACGCGACCGACCCTAACGCCAAGCTATACATCAATGACTACAACGTCGAAGCCGTTAACAAAAAGTCGGACGCCTTATACGCATTGGTCAAGGAGTTGAAGGGTAAGGGAGTGCCCGTTCATGGGGTCAGTTTGCAGGCTCACTTCAGCGAGAATGAAATTCCCTCAACTCATCAAGATCATATTAAACGCTTCTTCGATTTGGGACTCGATGTAGCCATTACTGAGCTGCAGGTCAGGTATCAGCTACCTGGGTCAGCCGATAAGATCGCTAAACAGGCACAGGATTATAGTCATGCCTTTAGGGCGTGCATGAACGTGGACAGGTATGTCGGGGTAACCGTTTGGGGCTTTACCGATAAATACTCTTGGTTGATTGATAAGGGTTATGGGGAACAGCAGTTATAAACCCAAACCCGCCGTAGACGCTGTCGATAAAGTTTTGAAATAAAAGAACATGTTTCATTTGCAATTAATTAATTATTTTATATTAAATATGAACTCGATTGATTTGTTTTCAAATAATTCAAAATTCATATAAAAGTTATTTCATTAAAAAAAGTTAAGTAATTTTGTTTGTTATTGAAAGTAATGTCGCTTTTGTGAGTTTAATCAATAAAAAGCACCTATATAAAATGTAAAAAACTTACTAATAAACTTAAAGGACTTTATAAAGTTTATAATCAATAGTTACTTGCGATTTTGCGATTTGGGAGTGGATGTGGCCATTACTGAGCTTAATATCCGGTATAAGTTACCAGGCTCAGCCGACAAGAAAGCGAAACAGGCCCAGGATTATAGTCACGCATTTAGCGCCTGTATGAATGTGGAAAGGTGTGTCGGAGTCACCGTTTGGGGATTTACCGATAAATACTCCAATATTTGTGATCAGGGTTATGGGGAACAGGAGCTCTGGACCGCCGATTTTCAGCCTAAATCCTCTGTCGATGCCGTCAACAGTGTTGAAATAAATGTAAATTATTGTATATTTAATATAATATACAATTATTATAATAATCAAATGTTTCATTAAATTATTAATATAAGGACTGCTTATTATGTTTATCCTTTTTATAAAAATCTTAATATTTAGAAAAGTATTTATTGAAACTAAAAGAAATTTTATACAGAAGTAAACTATTATATGTGGAACTAGTCTTTGAGTTTATGTAATGCCATCACTCCTTTATCACCGATTATTCTCACTTTGTTCTTAACATTCCTCATGAGTGAGTGGACATGTCTTTGAGCGACAGAATTACTTATTTGAGTCCATATTTTAGAACATTGCTGAACATTTTTGACAAGTTTAGACCTCTTAGAGTACTCTTTTTTGCATAGACTCCAGAATCGCTCAATAGGTCTGGCATTGGGAACGTTAGGCGGGTTTTCGTTACGATTAACACAATCGATACCATTTGTTTTAAGCCATTCCTGGACATCGATTTGATAATGAATTGTTGCCAAGTCGGGCCAAAACACTACATCACAACTATTATGGTATTTCTGGATAAACGGAAGTAGTCTTTGTCGAAGACATCTGGTTTGGTATTCATTTGACTTCATAGTACCGACTTTGACATAAGGCTTAGAAACATTCCCCATTTGGTCGATCGCTTGCCATACGAGATATCTCTTCGGGAATTTTGAGACACCTTTGAATCTTACAGAATCGGGTACTTTATTGATGTCTTTGAAGTTATAGTACTTCTGATCACTTGTGTCCCGTGGGTTAGCCATCACATACGTCTCGTCATCCATGACCACCACTTTGTTTGCAAGTTTTGTTCTCAATTTTCGGGCATTTGTTTTGGCTTTAATTTGCTGTTTTGGATCCATTTTAGGGATTTTACGACATTTTCTAGTCTTTATGTCAAGCCTTTTCTTAATGTTATGGACAGTACGGGAACTGATGTCTTCCTCTACAGCCACAACCCTCTCAGACATGTTTTTGTTAACCAACTTTTTACTGACTCTTTTGACCACTTCAGGAGTGGCCACTGAACGCTTCCGACCAGTTTTTGGTGCAAAAACAGAAGTACCAGTTCTTAGACAACGCCTAATAATCAATCGGATTGTATTGGGTTTCTCTCCTTCGGCGGCAAAGTGTCTGACAGTCGACTTGAGGTCATTTTGTTGATAAAATGTCCAAATCCTATCTGACATCACTTGCCTTTCTTTGACTCCCATTATCTTAAACTCAACTTTTTAAAACCAAATCAATGGTAATATCATTCTATTATATGTAAGGATAAAATGGAACACAAGACTGATCCCAACAATACAATGCGTCGCGCGCGAGACTCGTTGCAAAAAAGAGGATTTACATAATAAGCAGTCCTTATTTATACTTTTTTGTTCAATAGTAATAATGAAGTTTATTATTTTTATTTAGATATTGATTAGTAAATGTATTTATAATATACAAAAAGATCAATCGATGAATAAAAATGAATGACTATTGATCAATAATTTTACATTGAAAGCACAGTTTACTCATTCAAACTAATAAAAGTTTTCAAACAGCTTACATTCATCACAAATTATTTATCAATAGTCACTCATTTTTATTCATCGATTGATCTTTTTGTATATTATAAATACAAATGTTTAATAACAGATGTTTTTGTCATTGAAAAGTGAATCACAGTAAAAGACACGCTTGTTGCGAAAATAAATAATATAATCAAGATGCACCTAAAATATATCACCAAGTTCAATATACCATAATTAAATCATCTGTATTTATCTCAAATCTAGGTAAACATTATATAATTTTGACGGGTACATTATACTTTTCTTCTCGTTTTTTATCCATTAATTTATATAATTTAATTCTAGCATAAGCAGTCACAAATGAAGCTACAGTTAAATTAAATTTCTTGGCCTTTGCCAAATCATCTTTAATATATTTCCATGTAACAATTAACCTATCATCGTTATCTGAATATTCACCAGTTAATTCCTTTTGTTTATCTAATACTAAATCAAAATATTGATTAGTAGTTTTAACTATTTCTACTTGTGATTGATTTGGTCTCTGGGCAAATTTTCCCCAGAAAGAATTTAGCATAATTTTAGCAATAAATCTTAGCTTCATTTTTTTCAATTTTATCAAATCTTAAATCTATTCCCTCTTTTAATTTATAATCCAAAATATAATTTTGTTTATCTAATATCAGATATACAATTTGACGGCCATCCAGATGATTCCTGTTTAATTTGAAGCCACATATCAATATATTTTCTAAATTTATTTGTTTGAATGTCACAATTATAATTTAGAACTTGATAAATTTCATTTATTTGATATCCCTTATCTATTGCTAATTTTAACTCTTAGCTTACCCATGTTCCAATAAATGACCTATCATCACAGACAATCACTTGATTTATTTGATACACATTTAATACATAAAGGAAACAATAATTTAGAATAAATGGAAACAGGTAATATTGGAAGATATAAATTTGAAGGTGCTGTAACTTTACATTTAATTATTCCAAAATGATTTTAAGGAATAATCAAAATTACAGTTAATTAATTGTGGGTGATCTACAGGGTACGGAAAATATTTCAACACGGATATAAACTACAAAAATCTAAATATTTAATTTCTTCATTAGAAATAATTTTATGGAACTGAATATTATTAGTTGGACCCCCAAAGAAAGCATCTCATATATTTATATGCCCAATTTTTTCCATTTTCTTATATTTAAATCTATTATAAAATTTTTTCATTTCTAAATCTCTAGACAATACAGTCTAAAAATTACATTCCCAAACATAAACAACAGAATATGTTTTTTGAAGGAAATCAAATCTAGTTAGTGTTTGAGTATATTTATCATTTAAACTAAAAGATTCACCTCGAGTTAATGGTTTATTGAACTAGGTGATATATTTTAGGTGCATCTTGATTATATTATTTATTTTCGCAACAAGCGTGTCTTTTACTAATAAGATTTAATATGAAAAAATATAAGTTATGTAAAAATATTTGTGAAATACTTACACAATAAGTACCGCGAATAAAATGATTGACGTGGACAGCATTTTCGTGTGCTTTATATTAATATACAGTTTATAAAAAAAAGTTAAATGTCTAAAACAATTAGTTAATGAATTGACACAAGTATTAATTGAGCATTTTATGACAGTATGTTTTAATAATTTCTCAGATACTAATTACAATATGCTTGTTCAATATCTCAACAACACATTTATATACCAAAATATAGACGGAATATATCTAAAATATATTTGATAACATTGACTATACTTTGTAATAATCATAATTAAATAATAAGTTTACTTAGCCTTTGACTTAATTGACTTTCAATATGAGTATATTATTATTATCATAGACTGTACAGAAAAATACCCAACTCATAATTGGTTTGACGTTTTTAAAGAATATTTTTATGTAAATTGATGAATTAATTGTTATAATGATAAATAGATATCATTTATTAAATACTATTAAGTTGCATTAAAATAAATCTCAACACAATGTATACTGTATTCATGCACACTGATCTAGGTTAGTTGGACACAGATAATAACACATAATAAGGGTTAAATATACCTGGTGATCGGGTCAAGTGATTCACTAAAGTGGTATTACTTTCAATAATAAACACAACTGTAGAGAAATATGACTGAACAAATAAGATTTCTATTACCAATCAATTAGTAGACATTATATAGACTGTAATAATGAGATTTGAATGAATATACCGTATAAATAGAGTATTAATTAAATTGTTTTATTCGTGTAATAAATACACATTTATTTCAAAACTTTATCGACGGCCTCAACAGCGGGTTTGGGCTGAAAATCGGTTGTCCACAACTGCTGTTCCCCATAACCCGTGTCGAAGAAATACGAGTATTTATCGGTAAACCCCCAAACGGTAACCCCGACACACCTGTCCACATTCTCACAGGCGCTGAAAGCTTGACTATAATCCTGGGCCTGATTTGCAATCTTATCATCTGAGGAAGGCATTAGATACCTAACCTGAAGCTCAGTAATAGCCACATCCACTCCCAAATCGGAAAACCGTTTAATGTTTTCCTGAAGGGTTGCGGGAACCCCACCCTCCTTGAAGTGTGCCTGCATACCGACCCCATGTATGGGCACACCGTTAGCTTTCCAGCCCTTCACCAACTCGTATAAGGCGTCCGACTTGTTGTTCTGGCCTTCGATGCCGTAGTCATTGATGTATAGCTTGGCGTTAGGGTCGGCCGCGTGTGCCGTACGGAAAGCCTCCTCAATGAAACCGGAGCCTAGAGTTCGCGAAAATATGCTGTCCCTGAGCTTATTGCC